TATATATATATCAATGTATATATATATATATATATATATATATATATATATATAAAAGTATCTATATACTCTTGCATAGTAGTAAAAAAGAGTTTCCCATCAACTGTAGTTTTAAAAAGCGCGTTAATAAACCAGACTAGAAAAAGTTTCAAAATTTAAATTTTTTTTTTTTTAATGATAGACTGCCTGCCCTAACCAAACCCTCAGTCGATATAGCAGCACTCGCTTGCAAGTCACGCTATTTGTCAGTCGTTATAGCAGCACTCCCTTGCGAGTCAGGCTTTTTGTCAGTCGATTTAGCAGCACTCCGTTGGGATTCAGGCTATTTGTCAGTCGATCGAGCAGCACTTCGTTGCGAGTCAGGCTATGAGATAGTCGATGTAGTTATATTTGCGCACGTTTTATTAATGTTTTTTAATAAAATAAAAACAAAAACTCTACTAATTAAAAAAAACTTTCTTGTCGTTATTATTGCGGATTTTAAATTTTTTTTTAAAAAACAATAAAATTTAAAGTTCTTTCGCATTTCTTTAATTCCTTTGACATTTCAACGACAATGAAATAAAGCTTAAGAGACGAGGTAATTAAAATTGTAAGCATACTTGGCTATTTAACACTTTCCTTTTTAAATTTCGACGACGTTATTATGTACTCTTAAATCCTAATAATCTTTTAATATCTGCTTAATCAGTAATAAAATTAAAAACTTTGCTTCACCAGCTTAGATAGTAGACAATTTTTTAATTTATGACTTCTGTTGAACCTTTAAATTGAAGAGTAATTCTTAAAGTCAGGTAATTCGTTTATATCATGCTATATAATAAAAACAAAATACTAATATTTTTTTGTCAATTTTTATTAATCAATACCTTAAATATATAAATTTCTCAGTTGAAATTATTATATCAATTTATTTATAATTTTAGTTTAAGTTCCTTATATAAATATGTTTTCTTTACACATTGCTATTTTATTTTAAAGCATCTAATTTAAATGACTAATAATTGTTGTAAATATAATGATGTTATTATATTATGCTCTGTTTTATTTGTGCACACTTTATCTTAGATAAGCTAATTAAAGAAAACTAACAATTTAACTTTCATTACATTAAGCGCCATTATTTTACTCTACTTTGATACTTAATTATGTCTGATAAGTTAAGAATTGAGATTATTAGACTTTGTCAAAATAAAAGAAACTAGACTTTGGAAGATAAAGTGTACTGTCTCTGAAATGTAAGAGCTGTAATTATGCAGGGTGAGATCAATTGTTGTCAAAATGAAAGAAATGAGCCTAGACAAGCTGAGATAAATTGTCCTCGAAATAACAGAGATTTGCTCAAACGAGCTTAATTAATTTTTAATCAAAATGAAAGAAATTAGGCTAGACGAAAACTTAATAGATATATTATACATCGCATAGAAAAAACTAATATTGCTATAGAGAATAACTACCTCAGAGAATCAAACCATATTTGTTAGTAATGTGGTGCGAAGACTTTTTTAAATGAAACCTATTTCTTGTGCTGTCATTCATGAAAAGTTGTATTAGCTCCTTTTTCTCCATATCCACCATTGTTGACTGATTTAATGACAGGAAACTATGTCGATCATGCTGTCAATCAAAATTTTTTTAAACACATAAAGAGCTATGATTCCTCTTTATCTTTTGCTTCCTTCGCAACCAAAATTGCTCCTTCCTCTAACAACGACTCTTTCTATTTTGGGGACTGGGAGCAAATTTGACATCATGTTGGAAGTTTAAGGCCTGAAGAAGGTATTCTGTCAACATATTATTAGTTATATATCTATGATCCTAATTCAGAAGTGCGATTCAGAATGGAGCAACCTGGTAATGATTGTTGTTTAAATGAATTGATGCAAATTTTAATTTTTCATTTACTTTTTGTTTTGCTAATTTAAAAAGAGTTGTTCATCCAAACTTGCAATATTAAATCTTTAATCTTTTACAAAAGAAAAGGAGCCTCACAAAGTAAGTTTTTTATTTGTTATCTGTTTAGTCACATTTTTGAGTTTTTAAATAAATAAATAGTACAAAAAAAATTTATGTGTATTAAGTGTATACAAATATTAATTTTTTTTCAATTTTCGAATTGATCGAATTTCTTCTCTTATGACTGTTTTTTATAAGTTCCTAATAAGATGAATATAAGAAATGTTCTGAATGTTGATTTGTATTCATAAAGCTAAAACGAAGTATGATAATCTTCATACCATTTACTAAAAGCTTTAATTTTAAAACAATGTTTTAATTTAAGCTGTTTTTATAAGCACTTTTAATACCTTTTTTATATCGAATATAATATATTTTTGAACTTTTTGTTAAAGATTATATTTTTACTTTATCTCAACAAAAATATGTTTTTTGTTTTTCAAGTTAATTTCTATATATTTTTTATCTTAATAACTATTGTTTTGAATGAAGATGTCGGCTATTTATTTTTTTATATATTTCCTTTACTTTTGCATATTTGTGAAAAGAAACCATTTAAACTTTTATTACCTTTTGTACTTGAAATTTCCATTTGCATTAACTACCGATTTTTTATTAATTTAATTGCCTAACTTGGCAGTAAACACAGCTTAATTGATTGAATTTGTTTTTTTCAGTAAACACAGCTTAATTGATTGAAGAGTTTTTTTCAGAAAAGCTTTTATAAAAAACATTAAACAGATAATGCTAACTATTTTTAAAATAACTAGGTCTCTTTGGCCCGTTATTCAACGTCTAAAGTTGCTTTTCAAATAAATCTTTGTTTATTTGTCTTTTTTTAAAACTTTACACTTAGTAGCGTATTAGTTATATTTATTTGAGAATTTTTAGTTAACTTTTTACATATATTTGAAAAATTTGCATAAGATAATGTAGAAAAATGATTACCTAGTTATTCACAATATTTTAGCATTAAAATAGATAAAATTGACTGCAAAAGTGATTGATAAAGTAACAAAATAAAAAATTGTTGTATTAAATAAATAAATGGTTTTATTAAGAGAAAATGTAAAACGTTTTAAAATAATCTATGCTATTTTTTTGCAGAACAATCAGCCGATAATAAAGATGTAACATAATTCAAAACTTTTTATGTCATGGAAGACTCAACATGAAAAGAACTAAACGTTCACCTATTTGTATAGTGAAAAAAGTAGAAGTTTATCATCTACTGATCTTAGTCGAAATAGACAAAAAATCGTTTGGTTTTGTTGCTAGCGCCTAAATAACTCAAAGAGTTTAAATAAAAACACAACTACATGCGACAAGCTGCTTGTGAAAAATTACGTTAATTGATAAAGCATCAGCAAGCAACGAATAACTGTTTTTAACTCATAAAACTTGGTTAATTAGAATGTGGCAAAACATTCTTTTTAAAAATGAAATAAAAACTAATTTAATAAAAAACCAAATAATGTTGAGAAGAAAACCACATAAAAAAATGAACCCAAATTGTTCTATGTATAGAACAAAACATTGTAGTGATAGTATTGGCATCTTGACCTGCATGAACTTTCAAGGTGTCGGTTGTTTTAAAATATTTAATGGAAGTCTCGATTCTGAAAAATATTTAGACATATTGGATATTTATTTTATGCCTTATATTTCTCTTAAGGCATGGGAGTCTTTATACAAGATAATGCTCCATACTGCTTAGATTTGGTAGCATTTGTTTGAAAAAAGCAATATTAAAAGCAAGTCTTAGCCTGCCAATAAACCAGATCTCAATTACATAGAAAATTTGTGGTTTAAATTAAACCACAATCTTAGTAAAATTAAAATAAAAGACCGGAACCAGCTGAAAGAATTAGTAAAAAAATTAAAATAACTAAACTGTAATCCAAAAGAGATTTCTCAGAATTTCTTTAACTCCATGGCGAAACATATCAATAAATGACGAACAACCAAATGGATTTTTAATAGAATATTATTATTCCTTTTTTTTTTATTCTTTTTTTTTTACTAAGTATTGTTAATTTTGTTACTGAGGTTTGTTAATTTTTGGTTGTTTTAATTTTAATATTTTAGTTTTTAATTTTATTAATTTTTATTAATTTTTAATAAATGTATATTGTTTAAGATATGTAAGACATTTGCAAACATTTTTTCTCGCCTTTACCTTTTGTTGCAATGGCTGCCAAGAGTTCTGTGTTAAACACGCTTGAAAGGACACTGCTGTTATATAATTCATCATTATTTCCCAGTAAGCACAGGACGTTTTTAAAAAGCTTAAAAAGATTATTAAAACACATTTAAATAGAAATAAAACTGGTACACTTATTTTATTTCTTGGATAAGCGTTTGTTTTTATTACAATAGTATTAAATAATTAGTTTTAATATAGTAAATTAGGAATTACTATATTCAGTCTTGATTAAAATATGTCCCGTAAGAATATATTCTATATATTTTTAATAAAAAGAAATTTACTAAAAACTTTAAATAAAATATATTTACTATAGTAAATATATTTTATTTAAAGTTTTTATTTTATTTCAATTATAATTAAGACTAAAGCCCATTTAACTCTATGTATCAATTTTGTGGTGCAGTTATGAATTCTAACCGTTTTTCAATTTAATGAGCGTTTTATAGTATAATAAATTAATGGTTAAAATTTCTCAATAAATTCATGCGCAGTTTTTATGAAATAGTTCTCTTAAATTTTTAAGTTTTAATCTTATCGTGTTTTTTGATTCCTTTACGCCATAATATATGTTAAATATTATTGTAAAACTAATACTGAATGTAATTCAGCCATTAATGATGCATAAAGAAAGGATAATTGTATTTGAGGTAAATATATTTCAACTCATAATTTTTATGTATAATTATTTTAAAAACCTTGCACCAAACAACTTTGAAACAAAATTTAAAATAAATCAAACATTAACTGTTCACTAATATCTACCCAGAGGCTTACATATGCAATGCCTCTTAAAGTAACTAAATATGAAAAGTACAACATAAAAAAATTGAGGGTCTTAGGTATAGAGCTATAAAAAACAACAATTTTAACATTGTGAAATCAGTAAACTCATTCAAGTTTCAAATAAAAAGAGAAGTTTTGAAATCAAATGAAAACTTTGAGTTTTGACATATGTACTTTGTTTTATTAAACTTAAATTTTTGCATTGATTCTTTTTTTATTTATATTTATCCAAGTTTATTATGTTTATTAATTTACATAAAGAACAGAGATTTACACTTTTTCATATTTGATTGCAGTTTTATAAAGCTTTAAATAAATTTTGTTTTACTTTAAACTTGATGCGATTGTGGTGTAAGGATAGAACGCTAGCCTCATAAGAGAGAGGTTCCGAGTTCGATCTCCACCGCGTGTCTGTTAGTACCGATTATCTTTGTTAAGGTTCGTGTTTCGGAGTTTTCGAATTGAGATTAGGAGTTAACCGCAACTTAAGTAGCCTCCTTAACTGTAGTAAAATGACCATTAAAAAAAAATGTTAAAAAGCCCAAACAGGAGTTCATTCAAAAGATTATGTTGACTAGGACAGTAGCAAAATATTTTTTACTAACTTCAAAATGGGTGAGTATTTTACTTATTTTTATATACAATTGGTTCGTTAGATGGAAGAGATATATAAGTACTTGCAGCAAGATTGCGTTTACCAGCTAGAACGACTTCATTTGAAGTAAAAAACTCAATACTCTATTTTCATAATCTGAGGTTTATACTAATACTCTATTGTAATCTTATGTTGTTATTTTTAAATTTTTACAAAAAAAAAATTTCTCTTAAGTCTGTGTTCTCAAATGAGGACACTGGTACTACAGGTTATAAAATATAATATAGTACATCATATTTTATTGATATTTTTTATTTTTCTTTTAGGCTTTTTTATTTGTTAAAAAGGAATAGAGTTTTTATAATATTAAAAGAAATAGAGTTTTTATAACATTAAAAACAATTTATCTGTTTTCTGAGGAATGTGAATCAGATATCCTTGCTTTCCCACCAGACGTAGATGTACTTACGGACAAACAAAGGTTTGACGATGAATACACAAAAGCCCTTAATGTAAGTACTGGTACGTATTTACTCGTCTTATTGACATGTGCATAGTAAATAATTTTGTATATAACACCACTCATGGAAGACGTTCCATTTCAATGAAAGAGTGCAGAAGACAAATTGCAGTGACATATATGAAGCTGTATATAAATTCATTTACAACTTTAACTGAATATGTCAAAATTGTTTAGACTTCATTTTTATTTAATCTTAATTATTTTTAATTAACCAAAAACTTTTAATCTAATTAAAAATAAAATACCTTGACGAGCTGTTCGGCCTTGAATTTGAACTTCTTCGCTCAACTCTTCTGAAAAAAAGGTCTGTATAACATGTACACCACCGTTAGCAATAACATTTTTATCTCTGCATACAAAATCTGTACCACGTCCAAAAGCTCGTGTTAGAAAGGTAATTTGTCCCAAAACAGTTGCTCGCTTGATTATCATTTCTTTTTCTTTTGGTGATTCGGAGACCTCTTCTGTTAAAATTTGTATGTTTTCTTTACTTAAAGTTATTTTATTTGAATTATAAAACTCCATAAGAGATGTTATTGTATTAAAGAATACTAAAACAGGGCGTCTAAAATCTTTTTGAGTCATAGAAGAATATTCAATTTGTTCGTTAAGCTTTGCAAAATAGTCATCGTTATTTTCTATAAATACATCGGCTTCTTTAGCAAAACTACGTTTGTTTTCTCCGAAAATTGACGGAATATAGGTAAACATTTTAATTCCATAGCTTTCAATAATTTGTTTTTCCGATTTAGACAATGTTTTTAGTGTACCACTTACTCCCATTATATAGTAGAAGTTATTAGGTATTTCAGCAAATGAAAAGCTGCCGCATCTAATTCCAAAACTAACTACTTCGTTAAGACTTTCAGTACTGATCCTGCCTTCAGCATGCTCAAAATAGTAAGCAAATAACGTTTTGTAACCATATACTACATCATAAGATATGCCATCTTGTTCTTTGTAAGCCAGTTTATCATTTTTAATGATGTAGTCGTGCTTAAAATAAGTAAAAACTAGACATTAATTTGTTTAAAAATCAAAATTGTAATGCAACAAAACTAGTCCCTTTAAGTCTTTTTTAAAATAATCAGCCCAACTACGATATAAGTTTTTTATCTACAGATAGTTATCAGCAACAGTGACAACTTTATAAAAAAAAAAGTTTTAATTTTTATTTTTAAATAAAAAAGAAAAAAATTCAGGTAAATGTGTTGCTGTCTAAATTATAAACTAATGTGTACTACCTCTATGAGACGAAGTAAATAATAAAACTTTAGCATACTAATTCTTTATAATAATTTTTTAAAATATTATTTTATTAGCTTTATTTTATTCAAAACCACTTGATTTACTTATTTAAGCTAACTAACTCATCTTCAAAACCTTGTTTTGAGATAAATGATAAAATTTAATTTTTTAAGTCATTTATAATGCTAGTAAAATGTAAGTTTAACAAAATCAAAAACACAGCTTCATATATATAACGGTACATGTAGTCTGGCGCTACATCACATTATTTAATCACTTAGAAAGAAAAAAAGACGCAAAAAAAAAAAGAAAATATTGTAAAAGTAAGATATTTTAAAATGCAATTTAATAAAAATATTTATTTAAGCACAGCATCATAAAACTTTTTCTTAATTTTTCTATAACAATAAAATAAGAACAAAAAAATTGACGAAACTCTATTGTAAATCGTATTTCCAATAGAGCTTATATAAATCCTTTGAAACGTTTGCTTTTTCAAATATAAAGGTTGAAAAAGTAGAGTTTCATAAATTTTTAAGACTCACCAGAGACACGCCAGTGCTGTAATAAGCCTGTTCACACTGTGCCATCAGAAAAACATTTGAAACTAAATTTCTTGAAATTTACAAGTTGATACAAGGTGGCCACCATGTAATTGCAACACCCTCTGCTACAGTTTCATAACTGCACATAGAATAAATTACTTTTCCAACGTATTTGCTGAAGGGCACATTTGCATAGTATGTTTTTTTTTTTTTTTACGGATGCTGAAAATAAACTCAAAACTATATATAAAGATTTGTTTCCAGGTTGATCATCAGTTTTGATACAAATACTTTTGATAATTGACTCTTTTGGAAAGCTCGACATTTATATTTTGTAGCATCATTTTGCATTTTATCTTTCGATAGAGTTTTGACCACCACATACTCGTGAAGGAATTCGTATGATACTTTAGGTAAAGTCAAAATATTTCTTGTTAATTCCATTACTTTGAGAGCAATATTATTTTTCATTGATAATAAACAGTAATTAGACACTTTACAATAAACACTTTTGACAGGAAAGAATTGGTTACTTGGTACATTTTAAATTTACAGCCAGCATCAACAACTCTTATTAGACTTACTAAACTTAAGTATTATATTGCATACATTTACCACACTTTATTTTCAAATATGTTTATAGTGGAAACAGTATTTTAGGAAAACATTTTTTTTACAACTGTATTTTAAGATATATATATATATATATATATATATATATATATATATATATATATATATATATATATATATATATAATATATATATATATATATATATATATATATATATATATATATATATATATATATATATATATATTAAAATACAGTTGTAAAAAAAATATTTTCCTAAAATGCTGTTTCCACTATAAACATATTTCAAAATAAAGTGTGGTAAATATACATATATATATATATATATATATATATATATATATATATATATATATATATATATATATATATATATATATATATATATATATATATATATATATATATATATATATATATAAATATATATATATATATATGTATATAAATGTATATATATATATATATATATATATATATATATATATATATATATATATATATATATATATATATATATATATATATATATATATATATATATATATATTTATTCCTATGATATCTTAAAAAATATCCTTTTTCAAGTATTTAAATGTTCAATTCAACAAGGAATTTTACCTGATGTATTAAAAATAGCTAGAGTTTCACCAATATTTAAAGGTGGAGACCTACTTAATGTTAGTAATTACCGTCGTATATCTGTTCTCTCTGATTTCTAAAAAATTATAGAGAGAATTCTTTATAATAAAATTTTGAATCATCTTTCTCAAAATAATATCCTATACAAAAATCAATATGGATTTTAAAAAAATAACTCCACTGAACACGCTATACTTCAAATAAGACAATATATTACTGAATCATTTGAAAATTCCAAGTTTACTTTAGGCATTTTTATTGACTTGTCTAAAGCCTTCGATACGATTTATCATAAAATTCTAATTAAAAAACTTAAATGTTATGGAATCTCTGGCAATGTTTTGAAGCTTTTAAAAAGTTATTTAAGCAATAGATAGTAATTTGTTCACTATGACGTATCATCGAAATCAAAATTGTTAGATATAACATGTGGAGTTCTCCAAGGGTCTGTACTAGGACCACTATACTATTTCTCATATACATAAACAATCTCTATGAAGTATTTAATTTAATGTCAATTATGTTTGCTGATGACACGAACTTTTTTTTATCTCATAGCAACATAGCGACAATATTTCAAAGTATGAACATAGAATTAATTAAAATTTCTGAATGGTTTAAAATAAATAAGCTTTCTCTTATTATTGAAAAAACAAAATGGTCTCTTTTTGATCAAAGCTAGAAAAAGTATTTTCCCACGAGTGAACTGCCTGCTCTTTCTATAGATGACATGCAAATTAAAAGAGTAACGGCTACAAATTTTTTAGGAGTATTTATTGATGAAAATCTGACATGGAAAAAACACATTGAAAACTTATCATCTAAAATTTCCAAAAGTATAGGAATACTATTCAAAATAAGAAACACGCTAAATAGACATACTTTAGTTAAGTTATACCACTCTTTTATTCATTGCCATCTAAACTATGCTAATGCGGCTTGGGGTAGTGTTACCAAAACTAAATTAGAACCACTTTATCGCCAACAGAAACATGTTTCACGACTTATTAATTTTAAAAATCGTTTTTATCATGCTAAGCTTCTTTTAAACGAAATGAATATTCTTAATATATATCAACTTAATATTTTTAATGTATTGTGTTTTACGTTTAAATGTAAAACATGCACATCTCCAATTTCATTTCACAGATTACATTCTTTAAAAGTTAAAAATAAATACAATTTGCGTAATGAAAATTTTATTCTTTAACCAGTTTTCAAAACTTATTTTGGTAAGTTTTGCATTTCATTTAGAGGAGCATTTTTATGAAACAAAGTAGTATTAAAACTTTTTGATTTTTCTCAAGAATGGCGCTTTCTCTTGTTTAAAAGAACTTTGAAAAAAATTCTTTACTCAATTAAAAACATTTTTATATATTTTTTTAGTTTCTTTTGTTTTATATTAATACTCTTAAGAAATCTTTTTATCGTAATTTATATATATGAAATCTTTTTTTTTAACTTATCTATATATATATATATATATATATATATATATATATATATATATATATTATATATATATATATATATATATATATATATATATATATATATATATATATATATATAAATATATATATATATATATATATATATATATATATATATATATATATATATATATATATATATATATATATATATATATATATATATATATATATATATATATATATATATATATATATATATATATACTCTTGTATGTCTCTTGCATAGCATCAAAAAATGTTTCCCATAAACTGTAGTTTTTAAGAGCGCGTTAATAAACCAGACCAGAAAAAGTTTTGAAAATTATTTTTTTTTTTTAATTGATAGACTGCCTGGCCAAACCAAACCCTCAGTCGATGTAGCAGCACTCTCTTGCGAGTCAGGCTATTTGTCAGTCGTTGTAGCAGCACTCCCTTGCGAGTCAGGCTATTTGTCAGTCGATTAGCAGCATTCCCTTGCAAGTCAGGCTATTTGTAAGTCGATGTAGCAGCACTCCGTTGCGAGTCAGGCTATTTGTCAGTCGATGTAGCAGCACTCTGTTGCGAGTCAGGCTATAAGATAGTCGATGTAGCAACATTTACGCATGTTTTAAAAATGTTTTTTATTAAATCAGTAACAAAAACACCACTAATTAAAAAAAACTTTCTAGTCGTTATAATTGCGGTTTTTTAAAAATTTTAAAAAACAATTAAATTTAATGTACTTCCGCATAAATTAATTGCTTTAACATTTCGATGACAATCAAAAACAGCTTAAGAGACGAGGTAATTAAAATTGTAGTCGAAAGAGACTTTTTTTACATTAAACGACTATTTAAGCTACACTATATGGGTATATACATACATACATATATATATATATATATATATATATATATATATATATATATATATATATATATATATATATATATATATATATATATATATATACATATATATATATATATATATATATATATATATATATATATATATATATATATATATATATATATATATATATATATATGTATATATATATATATATATATATATATATATATATATATATATATATATTATATTATATATATATATATATATATATATATATATATATATATATATATATATATATATATATATATATATATATATATATATATATATATATATATATATATATAAGTTAAGAAAAAAGATTTCATATATATAAATTACGATAAAAAGATTTCTTAAGAGTATTAATATAAAACAAAAGAAACTTAAAAATATATAAAAATTTTTTTAATTGAGTAAAGAATTTTTTTCAAAGTTCTTTTAAACAAGAGAAAGCTCCATTCTTGAGAAAAATCAAAAAGTTTTAATACTACTTTGTTATAGTATATATATTTGTATGTTTTTATAGAATTAAATGTGTAAAAAATTATATTTTTATTTAAGTGTGAATATTTTTATATGAATTGATAGAGGATTATTTTTTTATTTAAAATCTGTTTAGGCGGTTCTCAATGACAAGATCTTCTGATCTTCTGCGAGTATCCGCGTTCATATATATATATGTTATATATATATATATATATATATATATATATATATATATATATATATATATATATATATATATATATATATATATATATATATATATATATATATATATATATATACATATATATATATATATATATATATATATATATATATATATATATATATATATATATATATATATATATATATATATATATATATATATATATATATATATATATATGTTAACAAAATTGATTATGATGCAATAAACATTGCTTGTGCCATTAGCAACATTATCAAAAGAGATAAAAAGTAGCGTCTTTTATTTGATTGTATTTATATAATATTATTGGTAAAAAAATTGTTCTATTTTAGTTTTTGTAATTATTTGTGTCAATACTGGAATTTAATTATTTTTGCAATAACCTTATTACCATCCTAATGAATATTGCCACATGTAATGAATCCCTAAATACGTATATATTAAATTTTAAGAATCCATTTTTTATAGTTATTATAGTTTAAATATCAAGAATCCATTTTTTATAGTTATTAGAAATGGAGTTCGTATGAGAAAAGGTCGAATCAAACTAAACGTTAAATGAACGAGAAAAAGTAGGACGTCCAACTGACGTTCAATAGCGTCTATTATGGACTTTTAAACGGTATGTTTTGGACGTCATTAGGCGTACTTTAGAGGTCCTAAATGAACGGAAATTTTTGTAAGTTCTTGGACCTTCTAAGAATGTCCGAGTTTCCATTGGTTGAGGAGGACTTTTATTATTTGTATATATGTACGCAAAAAAAAAAATATTTAAATAAAAAGAAGATTTGAGTTTTGTAAAGAGTTAAAGTTTGTTTGTTAACAAAATAAAAAGTGTATTAATTTCTTATTTTGTTGAGAGCAAGAAAAATACTTTTATTTGTACTTTTAGTTTTAATGTTGCCAAAATAACTTTTCTAAAATGTCTTTTCGTCTAGAAAACTGTATTTGCAATATGTCAAATGTGTTTTGTCCATTTAAATAACGCCCATAAAATGAAAAAACGGTAACTTAATTGTGAAAAATAGTCAATGTTAATAATAAAATAGTCAATCCTACTATTATTGTTTTAGACTTAAACAACGGAGAGCACTACATATTATATTTCTCCAGGACTCAAGCAAATTATGATCTTATAATGAAAATGCTACGCAGCTACCTTACTAAAATAAACAGAATATAAAAAAGCCAGGGCAAATTCAAAGACTCTAATTAATCTGAGGAAGCCAAGAGGGTCTTGATGTAGTAATGTATGACGTGTGCCATCACCTAGATTCTTATATGTATATATATAAAAACATGCTATTAAAATTCAACATTTTGAACGTTGTTTGTTTATATGGACAATTTCAAATAAAATGAAGTATATAAATGAAAAAAAATCACAAATATGTCTCTGCACTCCATGACCACGCCTACCTATGCAATCATAACCACAACTAAAGACAGATTGGCCATATTTGATTTTCATGATATCAATTACCTATACTTAGACATACAACATGAACCATCGAATTGAAAAACCATCGGTATATTCCTTGACCACCTCTAAGGTAAACACATCATTCAAGACCACTCATGACCACTCCTGAAGACCGAATCCTTAAGACCAGTCTAAAACTCCATGTTCGCAATTACTTATATTTAGACACGCGATATTTCCTATCTAGTTGAAAAACATTGGGACACTGACCATTTGGGCGGTAATGACCACTTTTTAAGACCGAATTTTCCTAGATTTAAATTCCCTGACAACATTTATCTTTATTTAGATATACACTATGTCCCATCTAATATAAAACCATCAAAAGACTACACAACCGCTCTTGATAACCCCTAAATCAACCTTTTGTGTGGTCATGACTACTCCAAATTAAAAATAGAGCTGAAAAAATTAAATTCTAGGCCCCAAAAACCTTAATTCACATTTATCATATGTCTTTATTTAACCCAAAAATAGTTTTGTTATTTTTAGACTATTCAGGCCCACTGTGCATTGTTGAAAAAAAGTACTTTATTAGACTCTTCTTAGGTTCACCAATCAACTATAGTACATGTATTTAAACTGTATACAGTTTAATTCAATGACAACGGAATATTCGAGGAACATGCTATTGCTCTTAAGTCAAACTATATTCATATTTGCAAAGATACATGTTTTTAATATCAAAGTGTGACGGAATCAAATTTATTACATGATTGAAATACTAATAGATAAAGTAATAAATAAAATTGTCATATAGTTTAAAAACTACAAAAATATAAGTAAGACTTAGGTCAAACAAACAAGTAATTATAGAGAGTTACGATATATATATATATATATATATATATAATAAGGTTTTTGGTAAAATAGTTAGTATTACTATTGAAATAAATGTTACTGAAATAAATATAACTACTGAAATTAAATTTAGTTATTAGATAAATAGTAATTTAATTGATGAAAAATATTTTGCGGAAAATCTTGTTGCATAAATATGCTACAAGATTTTCCAAAAACCACTTTGTTATACAAAAATCTCATTCTAAAGGAATTCTTATTCAATTCTGAATCGCGGACAACTTTTGTGGAAAAGATTCCCAAACATTGTTTTCAAAAAGAAAATTTCTTTACATCAGATCGAAACTGATTTGAAACATTTTTTTTTTCCCCGTTAATCGCAATATTTATTTCTCTATTTTTACTGATTTTTCATATATGATTTTTTTTTTATATTTTTATTTTGTTTCAATATTTATTTATTCATTTTTAAATCATTTATTTCGTAAAACAATTTGTTTTTTTTTTTAATTTTTATTATTTTTATTTTATTATTATCTATTATATTTTATATATATTTACAAAAACGATTATTTACTTTAAAATAAGTAACCCTAACCCTAACCTTAAACCTAACCCTAAGCCTGACCTTGCTGCCTGGCCAAACCAAACTCTCAATTGATGTAGCAGCACTCCCTTGCGAGTCAGGTTATTTGTCAGTCGATGTATGTACTCTTCGCTTTGCATAAAAACTATTTGCGTGGACATTTCTTTACAAAAAAAACGCTACTTACTAGGACAAAATATTATCAAGTACACTAAAATGTCCCCGTTACTGCTAATATCCTCGTAAGTATCCATTTTAATGTAAAATCTGTTCTCGAATGTAACATATATATATATATATATATATATATATATGATATATATATATATATATATATATATATATATATATATATATATATATATATATATATATATATATATATATATATATATATATATATATATATATTTATATATATATAAAACTTTTAAATAAATATTTATTTATAAATATATATGGATTTATATTTGCGTATTTATATATGTAAAATTGTATTTATAAATATATATGGATTTATATTTGCGTATTTATATATGTAAAATTGTATTTATAAATATATATGGATTTATATATGTGTGTTTGTGTGCTTTCATATATCTGGGTATATGTGCGCTTATATGTGTAAGTGTGCAAATTTTTATGAAAATTTATTTAAATTCATTTTTACTTTTTCCTAATCTATTTATGATATTAGGTATTAAACAATATCTTATTTGATTTTTTATATTTTTGTAAAGATTTATTCAATTTGTCTTATATACTATATATTCTTCAATATCTTTCTAAATAACTTTGAAATGTAAAACTTTGCTTGGCAATAAGTCAAATTTATGTCGTCTTCTTACTCCGGCAATTTACTTATTTGTAAATTTATGTAAACTGTAAAACCTATTCAAAGGCAAAATATGAAAAAAAAATAACGTTAAAAAAAATATATATTTATATTTCAACTTTTATTTTTTTACCTTGAAATCCTGTACATCAGCTAACATATCTTTTACAGCTTCTATAACTAAAAAATCCCATTCTTTTAAATAATTGCAGCATTTTTGATATTCTGGTGTTAATTGAATATGTTTTAGAGTTAGTTTTTTTTTTCTATGAGACCATATGTAGTTGGTAAGATCAGCGATGCATGGATTTTTTATTCGCGCCAACGGTGTATATAAATTACCGTAAAAATCTTTGTTAAAAAACACATCAACTTCATCAATTAGCAAAACCATGGGTCTTGTTTGCTTTTTGTCGGAAAAAATCGTTTCAATAATTTTATTGGAAACTAAATCAGCAACGCGATTACGAATATTACAGTTCTGATTTATAACACCTTCGCATATAGCGTTAAAGGTAGCATACTTAATATGAGTTGTCAAATCAAGGGAGGTGAACAATGGAAGAAATGATTTGTAGTCACGAGAGCTTAAGTATTCGCTATAACAAGCACAGCTAACATCAAAACCAATAAGACTTAAAACACACGATACAACAGCCAAAATTATTGACTTTCCTTCACCTGTTCCAACTTGCACAAAATTATTCTGAAGTTTGTCAGTAGTAGATAATAATTTTTCGTTATATACAACGCTTTTAAAGCTTTTACTAATACCTTTAACTTGCTTAGGTTCTATGTAGCCTATTCCTAAAATGCGAAAAATAGATATAACCTGACTTGGGTGGGGTGTCAGCAAGTAAGACTCTTGATTGTTAATGCCTTCCATTTCATTATAATACTCTGCATTTTGCAATGTCCATAAAGCAAATATGTTTGCAATAAGAATGCTTAGTTTATTTCTATCCTGTTCATTCCACTTTTTTTTTTCAAAAACATTTTCAGCCATTTTGTCTCCATTATATTTTATAAACCTTATCAATTCATTTAGGTCATAATTTTCATTAATTTTTACAATGTATTTTTTCACAGTTTGTTGATAATTTTCTAAATAAAGGTTATATACATCTTTAAGTCTTTGGATACTTTCATTATTAATATTATCGCCTTCAAGTTTTTTTAAAACATAATCAATTCCATGATAACAGGTATTTTGGTTAAATATTGATATAACTTGCCCTTTAAAAACTGAGTGCTCAGAGAGAATATAAAAGCCAACTCCACTTGCATCATGTTCTAAAGCTATGCTAAGCGTTGCCATCTCTATTTTTCGATTTTTTACGCATTGATTACTGTACTTTTTAAAAAAAGAATCAAGTTGTTCATTTATGTCATTGCCAAATTCAGGTAAGTAGATAGCAAAAGTTTTAATTTTTATCAACCACATTGCTTTTTTATTAACATCATTTTCAGATTGATCAACCATTGTGAAAAAATATTTTAGTGTGCTTTTCAGTTTATCGTTAATTTCATTTATTTTTGTTGTAAGGTTAAAATTTAGTCGAAAACGTTTTGCATGCATGTCGAATGATTTAATGTTTTCTAGGTTAAGTCGGAACAAATCAAGTTTTTGCAGAGTTTTATCAAAATTATCTTTACTAAAAATTTTTTTAGTGGTTTCGGATAATTTATCAAAGAAATTTGCTAAATAAGGATGTACTTCGCTTTCGTATGAACTTGGTTTAAATACATTACAGTTTATATGACTTTTTAGTTCCTTAGAATGATATAGAAATGAAATTTGTTTAACAAAGTCTTGGTAAAAAAGATCTCGTTCATTGTTATAAGGTTTGAGATAATCAACTTTATATATTTGATTTTTGAATGTATCAAGCTTTTTTGATAGAATTTCCTTCATTTGGTCATAGCGATTGCAGGACTTAATACTTGACAAGTTACTTTGAACTAAAACATTGTCTACCTTGATCTTAGAGTAACTTATAGCTGCAGTTAATAGGGAACTCTGATTTTGACAAATAGTCATTGATTCATTTATCTTTAGAACGTTAAGTTCATTCAGTGAGATCTGAAACTTTAACTGATAATTATGAAAAAAATCAACAATATTTTTATATGATTTACCCAGCCCCAAAGTTATATTGTTAATTAGTTTGCTTAAACTTGGCAAGCTTGGGTAATTTTCATGATTTAGCAAAGTAACTTCATCAAAATAGTTTAAATTCTGAAAACTCTTTTCTATTTTGTTAATGTCATGGTTATTTGAAATGTCTGAAAATATTGAGCATATCAAGTTAAATTTACTTTCTAAATTATATTCTATTTTTGAAAATATAATATTTATTTCAGCAAAAGTTTCGCCAAACTCTTGAATAAAATCCAAATATTTTTTTAACACTTCCAATGCCTTACTGACATCATTTTCATGAAGGTAATTTGTTAAGTTACGGTTGCATTCTTCCATCCGTTCATTCAACATGTTTTTTAATAGACGAATGTACTTTTCCATCCCATCATTTATACATTTGTTCATAAATTCATTAATTAGTTTTACGTTAGATGTGTTATTAATTGTATTGAACTCATCTTGGTAAACTTTGTTTTCTTGTTCTATTCTTTTTTTAAACATTTCTCTTTTGGATTCTACCCATGGTTTCATATCATCAGGTAATAAATTAAAAGTTGATTTGATAAGATCCATGCTCTTCTCACGCTCTTCCAGTTTTTCAGTTTTAATTTTTTTGAAAACACGTCTCATTTGAGTTCTAAGTGCTTCTTTAATTTTATTTAATAGTTCGCTATACTTCTTTTTGCTAGAATGATTGACTAGTTTTTCTAACTCGCTAATTAATAACTTCGGTGAGTTTTCGTAGTAATCGCTTATCTGCAATTTTTCATACTTATCTGTAACAGCGTTTAAGCTTCTTTCAAGATTTTCTTGCATTTTTACAATTTCATTATTTATTTCGGCAGAATTGTTATCATTTTCGAACAAGTTGTGAATGTGGTTTAAATGTTCTATTTTTATCTCGGCTTCGTAAAAACTATTATGGTCAATATCAAAATTTATTTTTTCCATGTATTTAGTCATTTTTCTAGCTATTGTCTCGTGAATTTTTTTTAAAAAAATGATAAGCTCTACCTGAGTGTCTTTGTTAATGTAGCTACTCAATTTAAACTTTTCTTCAAGAGAATTGTTGTTGTATAAATGTTTCATAGCATCATTTAACCTATAAAACTGTTTAGCTATTTTGTTAACCGCCTTTTTATCCAGACTGTCTCCCAGTGCTTTAAAAAGTTGTTCAGTTTCAACTATTATTTTGTTTATTGAGTTATCCAAACTGTTTTTTATTCTATTAATTGTTTCTCTTTTTAATACTTTTTCATCAATTTCAAAAAGTTTCAGAAACACTTCATTAAACTTATGGTTTACAATACAGTGCAACAAATTTTTTTCAAAATCATTCAATTCTTTTATTTTATTTTTGTTGTAATCACAAAACAATGGATAAAACTTGATGCTTTCAGAATATTTGTCTAGTTGAATAAAGGCTCTTGCAACTTCAGGGTTTAAAAATTCATTGTTACTAAGTAGATCTAAAGTTAAATAATAGTTTGATAGTATATCAATTATATCTTTTTTGATGTATTGGCCTTGCATCAAATTGTTTAATAATGTATAATTTTGAATTTTGTTGCTTTCCTCAAGTCTTAACTTAATTCTCTTTGTTAATCCATGCACCGAAATAGGTTTTGTTGAAGAAAGTGTCTGTATTTTATTGATGCAGATATTCATTTCAAACGTGATAAACTCTTTGTATTTACTTAAGAATGTTTCTAATTCAAACTTTCTGCTAGCTGCTTTTTTTCTCAAAAATTTTATGGTAATGCAAGAGTTTAAGTAATTTAACGCAGCTTCAGCTTTGTTGATATCAATGGTGTTAAAAAGAAACTCAGCACCATTTGATTCAGCATCATTAATTTTGTTTTCAAGTTCATTGATTTTGTCGTTTAACGTTTCAATGTCTTTGTACTTTGTTTTTAAAATATATTCATTAGCTTCGTTGGAGGTTACGTTTTTACTATTTTTTTTTTCAAGATGATCAATTTCATTGGTAGTTTGCTCAATTATACTTTCCAATTCCAAAATTTTCTCTTCGTTTTTCTTATCTGCAAATAGAAAATCATCAATGGTAAAAAAATTATATTTATGTAAAACACTACTTTTTATGGTTTTACTTTCGCTCTGCTCTTTTTTAATTATAGCATACAGTTGTTGTTTTGATTTTAGTTGCTCAATGTTTTCTGTAGTTTCTTTAAGTTTGTTTTTGAGTGCTATATTTTTCTCATCTAAAGTAATGGAACTGATATTTTCACTTTTCGAAGATAATTCTCTAAATTGCATTGTTTGATATTCATTTTGCATAGTTAATAGTTTTGTTTTTCTTTCTTTAAAGTGATTCAGATTATGTTTTTCTAAAGAAAAAGTATTATTGATAGACAAAAAACATTCTTCAACAGAACTGTTAAAATGGTCATAGGATTTATCACAATACTTTTGAATTTCTGGAATACTTGTCTGGAATTTTTTCAATTCGTCAAGCTGCTTTAGTATTTTGTATGCTTTGTTAAGCTCTAAATAGTTCTCTAAATCCAAAATAGTTTCAAACAAATCATCATTTAAACTAGTAGCCCGTTCAATTAGAATGTTTTGAATGTTTTTAATAATGTTTTCATAATAGCCACACCTATGGTTTATTAGCCACTCAGCATCTTTAAGATTTTTGAGATTCGAAAATATTTTTTTGTAATTAACAACACCATTGTCAATGTTACTTAGAAGTATTTCTGTATCATCGCTTAAGTTTTTTATATAACCGGTAATGCTTTGATTGGTTGAATAGTATAACTCAGCGGTCCGTTGCTCAACACTTCGAATTTGACGCACCAATTGCATTTGCTTGCAAAATCCTTCCATTTCTTTAAACTTTCCGTTTTTAAAAAGATTGTTAATTTCATTGTTTAAATATTCAAAAAATTTAATTATTTTACACAGAAAGTTTTCACAGTATTCGTCTATTTCTTCTTTGGTAATATGTTCGGATAACAAATGAATATGTTTAGTGTTCTCTAAAACTTGTAAAATATCATTGATACTACACAAATCGTTATCAGTTAAATATTGCTGTGCAAATAAGTGTTCACAACTTTCTGACAACTGTTTTAACTTTAAAATAACTGAAAATTTAAGATTTTCGTACACAGAGGTAATTTCCGTTTCCAGATATTGATGACTATTAAACTTTAAGCAGATATTTTTAGAGTTTTGAAGGAGATTTGCAGATGCATTGAAATCATTTTTTTCTATACAGCTTTCAAGATTTGTTTGAATCTTTTTTACCTGAGAAGTTGAGAAAGTATTTATATGTAAAACTGAAAAAAAGTAATCTAAAAAGTTTATTAAGATTTTTAAATAATTTGAAAATTGTATAGATTTAAATGCATTTAATGTTTTAATGTTTCGGTGATACGAAATTAAGTAAACTTTTGTTTATTAGTGTAACCCAAGTCATTTTGTTTACACTCTTATATCTCATCTTTATTTTCGCAATAATACTACTCTATTATTATATAATGTATATAAAGAAATAGAAAGAATTTTTTATTAGTCTTTTAACAATAATAAAACCAATTTAAACAAAGTTAAATAAACAATTTCTAAAAAAAAAAAAATAATAATTAAATAAATAATAAAATAAACAATTTCTTTAAATTACTGATGATATTTTTAGTAATTACCAAAAAAAAGTTTAAAAAGTATTTTAATAGTATGGATAATAATGTCAAAAATTAGAATAAAATAATCAATTTTGTTTAAGACGGATGAAAGGTGTTTTAGAATGAATTATTTTTGGACTCATTCAAAATTCTTACATGGCTCTAGTTCTATTCAAAGACGCACTGATAATCAATAGAATGGTTACTATACTTCACTATACTAAACTTTGGGTTTAAAAAAATATATATTTAGTTTTCCATTGTGTAAATTTCTAGTAGAGTAGGGATGTATTAGTCTACTCTACGTGAAAATGTTTTTAATAGATGGTAAGTTTTTTATTTTAGGAGCTAACGCAAAAAGAAGATTAGCGTATTTTATTAGTACTGGAAATGTTGTAATGATTAATTTTTTAAAGAACTCTGATACATTTAATTTAATTGTTTGGAAAACTAATAATCTAAAGGATTGACGCTGAGACGGAATCAAATTGTTAATGTGGTAGTTTCCAACTTAAACCTAAACTTGAAAACTTTATCGGCATAAAGATTAATTATTGAAAGCATGCCGTTAGATCAAGTTTATTGCTTAGTTCATCAATGTGAAAAATCCATGATAGATTGCAGTCATTTAACACACAAAGATATTTAATAAATCTCAAAGGAGATAGCCGTTTAATATTAGTTTAGATTTTAATTTCAAGATTTTTAAAGAAATAGTTTTTTTCGGATAAAAAAAAAAAATAATTCAAATTTTTCGGTGTTAGAACATATTAGGTTAGCATTTAACTAGTGAGCTGTACCTTTTAAATCCGAATTTACAATTTTACATAAAGAATATTGCGATTTGCTAATGTGCAAGAGATTTGTATCATCAGCAAACAGATTAACTGACGAGAAGTGTAGAGAGCTGGTTAGGTCTTTAACAAAGATTAAAAATAAATGATGACCAAAAACAGAAGTTTCAGGAACACCACAGAATACTAATTTATTACTCGAATTAGAACAATTAATAATTACAAATTGTATTCAATGTGAAAAACAAGAACTAAACCAGCCCTATACAACACCAAAAATTCCATAATGTTTAAGTTTAGAAATAAAAATTCTATGTTTAACGGTATTGAAAGCTTTTTGTATATCGATAATAACACCGCAAACGAAATAGCCTGTATAAAGAGCTTAAGGAATTATAATAATTAAAAAATGGATTTTTTATGCTATACTTATTAATGCTTGGTAAGTAGAATGTTTTGATCAGAAACCAAATTGAAAATCATTTAAACAACTAAATGATTTTGGAAAAAATTAAACTCTAGAATACATAAGTTTTTCAAAAAGTTTTACTAATGTTAGATAAAAGAGAAATAGATTTATAGTTTGTGCGTAAGTGTTTTGAGGCATTTTTTGGATTATGCGGCAATATAGGATTAACGTTTTGAGGCAATATTGGATTAACGCAAGATAATTTTAAAATGTTAGGAAATGTTCCATCTATAAATGAGGTGTTAAATAGTTTATATATACTGATGATTTAATAAAGTTTTTTACAATTGTAGAATGTTAATGTCTTTATAAAGATTGCTTTTTATGAATTTTCTGATATAATTTTTTCAAAATGGATTTATTTAAAAAATTTAGTTAATGTAATTATATTTATTTCTCTTAAAAATACTTAAAACAACTTATTAATATTAATACGATATTAAGATAGTACCCAGTTAACCAACCCAACTGGATCCCAACTGGGATTGAGCCGGGATTACTGGAATTGGGTTTGGGCTGGGTCTTGTTCCAGGTGCCAGATGGGTCCCATATGGTGTAAAAACAATGCCGCTAATAAAATCTTTGTTTTAACTGGGATTGGCATGGGGCTTCCGTAAATGGTTTAAGGATGGTTTGAAGATGTGACGCGTGGTTAAAGTTAGCGTGTATTTTCTTATCAAAGCAATTTTTTTAACATCGTTTTTATTACAAATTTTTGTTGAAATAAAATTACAAAACTCTTTTAAAATGTCATATGCAGTAACGCGGCTTAATATAGATTATTTATACACTTGCATTTAGAGTAAATATACACAGGAACTTCATTTGGTTTTTTCATTGTATTTTTGTAAAAAAACATTTACATTTCAGTTTTAATTCTATATTAAAAGTATAAATATGGTAAAATCAATATTTAGGCATCCATTTAAAAAACTATTTCAGACACACAAAAAAAAAAGAAAATATGACTTGCTCTAAAATTTCTTAAATGTCCTGCATTCTAAAAATTTGAGAAATAAAATTTTATACTGAAACTCAGACTGAATTTCTGAGCTTTTATAAGTTTGAGATATGTAAACGTTTACTTTTTTTGGAATTGTTAATTTTTATTGAACTGAAGGCATATTCTGTAACTATGTAATAAATAAATATTAAAAATTTTTAAAAATAGTTTATATGGTTTAGTGCCCAGTAAGCACAAGACGCATTTTAGACACTTATAGACGTCTAAAACTAGTCTAGGTAAAGACGCACTTTTATAGACGTTTTAAAGACATCTTTCAGACGTCTTTTATAAATGCGTTTTTTAAATGACGTTTAAAAGGCGTCTTTTTAAAAGATAAAAAGACGTCTAGAAGACGTCAATTTTTAAGACATCTTCTAGACGTCTTTTATAAAGGCGTTTTTAAAATGACGTTTAAAAGGCGTCTATTTAAGCGTTAAAAAAACGTCTAGAAGATATTTTTTTTTAAGACATCTTTTTTTTTTTTTTTTTTTTTTTTTTTTTCTTAACATCATTCTAGACGTCTTTAATAAATGCGATTTTAAAATGACGTTTAAAATGCGTCTTTTTAAAGTTTAAAAAGACGTTTAAAAGACGCTTAATAAATAGTCTAAAAGACGCATTAAAAGACGTCTAGATCAAGGCTAAAAGACGTCTTTTCTGAGACCTGTTTATAAATATATCATTATGACTTTTTTTTGACGGCTTTGTCATTACGCGTTAAGTACATGTCGTATATTCAAAGTAAATACATAGTTTTTATTATTTTCAATAATTTGTTTAAGTTTTAAGTGTAAATTACTTTAAATTAAATTACTTTTTTTACACAATTGCTAAAATTGTTGTCACAGGAATCACTAAAATAATTGCTATAATATTATTATATCTTTTTTTTATTAATAATTATTTTGCTTTTTCAATAGATAGTTGACTGATCATGATAATAAGTGAAAATGGCAAGAATAATATATAAGTTAAATATCAGTATTTTTAGTTTTTATACACCCACAAGCCATATAATAATTCAAGTATGCGGTCAAAAATTAGCTAGCAGTATGTATGTAAAATTTTTTATAACTAAAGATAAGTTATAAATGTTTTAAATATTGTTATGATATATATTTGTTATTGTTATATATTATTTTCATTCTTGATGCATCAACCGTTGGTGGTGATTACAGCAATATTATTTTGATTGCTGGTTCCTATGTATATTTTGTTTATACGAAATTATAACAATATATGATTTTATAAATACAATGAATATATACCACATACTACGCGAAAATGTTACGTCATGTACTTAAATTTATCTTAAAAAAACGTCTAAAATACGTCTAAAACCCGTTTTTATAAAGACGTGTTCATTTAGACGTCTTTTAGCCTTATGATCTAGACGTCTACAAGTGCGCCTTTTAGACCTCCTTAAAGACATCTTTAAAACGTCTTTTAAACGTCTTTGTGCTTACTGGGTGTGCTTACAGTTACGACTTTGTGTGTTTAGTTTTTGTTTTTTCAAATAAATCTCATAGACTTTTTGAAAATTTTGAATTTGCTATGTTTTGTATAATGACTTTGACAATTTTTTTTTACAAAACATGCAAGTTTTACTATGAGACACAGTTGTATGTAAACTTAAATATTATTCATTTTCACATAAATCATTTAATAAATGGTCTATGTATTTATAAGTAATATGTATGTTTTACATACTTATGAAAAAAATTAAAATCGTACACTTATTAAATGTAACATTTTACATATTTTATAAGTAATATAATTAATATATTTATCATAGTATAAGTAATATATTATCAAATATATAACTTATAGAAAATGTTAAATTTTACATTTATTTTATGCATTTACAAATGAAATCTAAAGTTTTTATATCAATCAATAAATACATATATATTTCTGAAATATTTGGTATTACATTTCAAGATTGTTTACAAATAGTACAAACTACTAATATTACATAAACACCTGATGATATTTATTATTATAGTAATGGTAATAACAATAAAAATAGTATTTATTATAATATTAATATTAAAACGTTGATTTAACAATAATAATAATAATATAGTAATTAAATAATTCAAATAAATTGGTATAATTTTCCATACAACAACTGTTCCTACATACAAAGTTATAGTTACAAAGAGTAATAAACTGACAAAACGTAACAACTAACGATAATATAAAAACAACCACAGCTAAAACCATACTAAGATTTAGTAAATATATTTTTCTTATAATATAATAACAGAAATAGATTAAATTATTAAAATATTTGTCTGTAGTAATAAAAAAATGATTGCATTTTGTTTAAATATATTTGTTTATTAAATACA